ACTCCCGCGCACCCACCATGCTGTACGCCAGTGACCCCATGCAGCACTTCGCCACGGTAGGTGAGCCGTGCGCCCCTTTGGGTCCGTCCGGGGAGTCTGTCTCTGTCCTTCGTGGAGGGGCTTGTGGGGCTTTCGCCATGGTGAAGAGCTCAGAGGGGCATTTTCTTGTCTGCCCCCTGGCTGGGCACCTGCTGCCGGTTAGGGTAAGGCCATCTAGGGGGCAGAGGCAGGCAGGAGGCACTGATGGGTCAGGGTGGGTCCTGGGCGTGGAGGCAGACGCCCACCCATCCTGGGACCAGCACCCACTGGCTGGGTAGGACCGACAGCCAGGGAGAGGAGGGCTGGTGGGTGGCTGGTCAGGCTGGGTGGCGGCCTCACGGCTTGGGGGTTTTGGGTCCCAAGCTTTGGGCTGGTGGCTCTGTCCCAGGATCAGGGCCCAACAGCTGTCCCCTAGCTGTCCTGCCTTGTCCTGGCCGCCAGGAGCTGAGTGCAGCCAGGAGGCTGCCTTTCTGTCTGGATTAGACTGTGCAGCTGGCCCCCCACTCCAGGCCGAGCACAGCCTCACCTGGAAAACTGCTCATCTGCTCATCTGGCTTTCGTGGGTCTGGGCTCCGAATCAAGGGCCTCGAGGCATCCTGTTACCTCTGAGAGGGGCAGCCTGGCTGGCTGAGGGTAAAGGAGGGACTTGGGCTTGGGCTTGGCCCCTGTGGCCAGAGCCCTGGGGACCTGGGCTCATTTCCAGACTTGCCAGGTCCCCACGGCCAGGCAGGCACCCGGCTGCTAACTGAGCAAGTCAGGGGTGGGGCCTGGCTGCTGCACTCGGTGCCGTCTCTGCACCAGAGAGGCAGGCAGAGTGTGCGCCATGGGCACCAGTGCCCCGTGGGAGGCCCACAAGGGGCAGAGGGGCAGGATGGACAGTTGGACAGAGTCCAGTGTCCCCAGGCTCTGTGGGCAGAGGACAGGAGCTGTGGGTGGACGGCCACAAAGACCTGGGGGTGTGGCAGCCTTCGGAGACCAGAGGGCTCTCGGCAGTACGTGTGCGAGCACGGGTGTGTGTGTGCAAGTGTGTATGGGTGTGTCTGGGTGTGGATGTGTGTGTGAGTGGCAATGTGTGTGTGCATGTGATGTGTGTTGTTCTGGGATAAGTACATGTGTGCCTGTGGGTAGGTGTCCCAGGCAAGGCCACAGGAAGAGTGACTGCGTGTGGCCCAGGAGAAGTGAGGGGTGTGGGTGACGTGCCCACACAGCCTGACCCTGGCGCTGGCTCCGTGCACTCGCTTCTGGAGATTGCACAGCCTCTCCGCATCCCTGGCATGACCTTCTTATCTGAAACCAGCCCTGGACCAGGGTGCCGCCCAGTGCGGGCAGCTGCCCGAGTGGAGAAGGGGTGTCGTCCTCCTTCTGTCCCTTACTCCCTCACTGATTCATTTACCCACCAGCACATGCCACTGGGCACACCTCGCACAGCCAGGCTCTCCATGCGGCTGGCATGGGAGCCGGGGGGGCTGTCTCCCTGCCACTGGGGCGTCCCGTTGTCTTGTGTGGACCAAGAGCCAGAAGGCCCTGGGCCCTAGAGGCCAAGGTCCCTGCTCAGCCAGGTGAGAAGCCCTGGGGACACAGGGGACTCTGATAGTAAGTAACTCGCAGTAAGTTGGCAGAGGCTGAGCACGGCGCCTTTCCTGGGAGCTGGGTGGGGGTACAGAGCCCTGCTCTGGGCCACAGAGGGGGCGCAGCCTCCCCGCAGGAGCTGTGGGCACGGCAGCCGCAGGTGACCATCCGGAGGCTGCTGCCCGTGCCCCAGGGACCAGCAGCATCCGAGCGCGCCGTTGCTGCACTTTCATGTGGACCAGGGGTCGAACAGCGGCCAGTTTGCGTGTTCATCCAGCCAGCAAGTGTCCCCAGCAGCCCTGAGGCCCCACCCAGGCAGCAGGAGGCACCCTAGCCTCTTCCCGCACAGGTGGTGCTGGCTCGGGAAATCTCTGCTTCCTTCCTGTGGGCCCGGGGGAGGGTCTGTGACCCTTCCCGCTTTGTGCACTCGTCTTGACAGAAGAAGTGGTATTTGGCCTGTGGCACCCGAAATCCCATGAATCACGGGGTGTTTCGGCCTGTGTGGTTGCCGTTGCCTTCGGTGAGAGCCCCCTGGGCCAGCCGGCCCCAGGGAAGGGGGCTCCAGCAGCAGGAAGACCCTCCTTTCTGAGTCCTGTCCTTACCTGTGAGCGGGGCAGTGCCACCGCAAGAGGCTGCTCAGCGGCCAGGCGGATCCAGAGGGCTGGGCGCCTGGCTGGCAGTTGGAGGCCTCCTCTCCGCCTCCACGCTGTACTCTGGGCACCCGGCTGGGGGTGTCGGTGGTTCTGAGCTGGGCTCGGGCTGTGTGCGGGCAGCTTCTCCTTCCATGGAAGTAGCTGAGGCGCTTGGGCGCCTTTCTCAGATGAGCCGTCCCTGGGCATGCAGCTTCTCCTGGCTCAGAACCTCCGTGACCTCTGCCCTCTGCCCTTCCAGTGGGCGTCTCACGGCCCTCACTGCCTTCCTGCTCTGCTGTGTATCAAAGCTTTAGGGTCTCAGGAGATAAACAAGAGTGACAGCAGGAGCCCTGGCCCTTCTCTGCAGGCAGGCCCAGGTCAGCCCGGGCTGTGGGGTCAGGGACAGCTGGGCATGCAGCTTGGAGCGAGCCCCAACACATGGCTCCCGAGGCCCAGCCTGCGGTGGGCATCCCAGGTGGGCACCATGTGGATGCGGGCATCCCTGGCCTGGAGCAGCATGAGTGGCACAGCATGTGCGTGGCCCCACCGTGCAGCCTGAGTCAGGGACAGCTCTGTTCCTAAAGACAGTTCCCAGGACGGGGCAGCTTCTGGGCAGGAAGGGCCCTAGTGGGAAAATCCATTCAATTGCTCAGGAAGGCGCCTACTGCAATCAGGTTTTAGGAGCGTCTGCTGCAGTGCTGGGAGCTGACCACATGGGGGCAGGCCAAGGCTGGGCGCAGGCGATGGGGTGGTCCCACGGGCGCGGCACCTCGGGCCAGGTGGGCGCCGGCGAGGGGCTGGACCCACGGGCGCGACACGAGGGTGTGGTCCCACGGGCGCGGCACCTTGGGCCGGTGGGCGCGGGCGAGGGGTTGGTCCCACGGGCGCGGCACCTCGGGCCGGGTGGGAGTGGAGAGCTGGGGAGAGCTGTCCGGCTTGGGACGGGCTTTGCCACTGGGCTCTGAGCAGATTCTGAGCCAAGCGACTGGGTGCGGGGTGGCCATTTATTCAAAGGGAAACTGAAGAAGGGGGTTTGGAGGAAAAAGTAAGCCCTGTGCTTCTACTGCGTAGGCATGAGAGACTCAGCCATTGAGGGAGCCCGGCGAGGGGATAGGGGAGGACAGCAAGGGGGTTCCAGACGCCACAGGGGGTGCAGGTGGGGAGGGAGGGTCAGGGCAGCTGAGCGCATGTGGAGCAGGGCAGGCTTGGAAGGTGCCCGTGAGGGGCCTACACAGCCCCCCTGATTGGAGCCGAGCAGAGGGGAGACAGCACAGTGACCGAGGGGGCCCTGAAGGGGCAGCTGGGAAACTCCTGAGATTCAGGAGGCCCCTAGGACTGGACAGAAGGGGTGGGGCCTCTGGAGACCCAGCAGGAGGCAGCCTGTGGCTGGGGGCAGAGTGGAGCTGGAGTGGCCACGGGCTGGGCTGGGAACGCTGTGGCAGCCACAAGGTGCCTTTCCCTGGGTCAGGGAGAGACTGGCTGTCCCAGAGTGGGATACAGACCTGACTCAGGGGACGGAGGGGTCACCCCCATGGCCGGGCCCCGCCTGCCCAGGCTGCAGCCTTTCTCGTGTTTATCTCTACAGCTGGATGTCTTGTGGGCCCCCCACCCCACTCGGTCAAGCTGAGCTCCCACCTGCGGTTAGGTGACAGTCCTGGCCCAGGGGAGGGAGGGAAATCCTCTCTTCCGTCGCTCGGCGCGAACCCCAGAGCTGTTCTTGACCGCCTTCTTGTGACATCCATCACCCTGCTTATCAGGAGCCGTCAGCTCCACCTCTGAGCAGGTAGCTAGAGCTGCTCCCACACACAGACAGGCCCCACTTCATGGCCTTTGACTCCAGAGCCCCGGGGCCCCCCCGGGCTGGGTGGCTCCTCCTCCTCCAGCCCCAGGGGGCTCGAGCCCCACTGCAGCCCCCAGCCGGGGGCATAGGTCCGGTGACTGCATCTCTCACTTGCTGCCTTTGTCTTCTTGGGGGTCCCCTGGCCTGGGTGCCCCCTCCCCTGTCCCACTGCTTTTGTCTCCAGGGAGCATAATCTGCAGGGGTGGGGGCGGGGCCTGTCTGCCCCTGGAAGGTGCCAGGAAGTGTGGTGCACGAATGAGCTTCCACCTAACGGGAAGCTGTCTGGTGGCAGAGCCGGTGGGAAAGGCTGGGCTTAGCCTGCCCATCTGGCCCCTGTGCCTGGAACTCAGGGGGCGTCGAGCCAGCCAGGGGTCAGGAGTAAGTGCTCCAGTGGCTATCGGCTCCTCTGCCTGGTTGCCCTCACCCAGCGCACTGGATGACGTCTCCCCATCTCTGGGTCCTGGCTCCAGTGTCACCTTTGCAGAGGGCCATGGACGGGGCACACCCACACTCGTGACCCTGCCCCAGGCCATCATGCACTTATCACTCCCTCCAGATGGCTGTCCCACCCCGAGTGGGGGGGTGACACTCCTGACTGGCCCCCTCAGTGTCCTCAGTGCCTGCACTCTGGTGCTGGCAAGGCCAGATTAGCAGGATGGACAGACAGATGGACAGAGGAATGGATGGATGAAGGATGCCAGACTCCAGGGCTGCAGGCAGGGGGATGGCCGCCATACCCGGTGACCTGTGCCCTCCCCCCACCCATCACAGACCACCCACCTGCACTCCAGGTCCTCAGCAGCCTGGGCATAGGGCCTGCATGGCCCCTTCCTGGGGCTAAAGTCTGTGCATCCCGGAAATGCCGGGGTTCTTGTTCACAAAGCCGAAGAATGAGCTTCACAAACAGTCAAGGTAGGAAAGCAAGGGTCAGGCTTTTACTTAGAGATAAAGTGAGAGGACAGAGGTCCCGGCTCAGGCCAGGAGGGGACAAGAGAGTCCGTGGGGGGTTTTATAGGCAGTTGAGGATATTTGGGAACATGAAAGAGTTTAGGTGTGTGGACTTGTTCAGTGGTCCCTGAATATTAAAAATGAACTTAACATAAGGGATTTCCTGCCTTGATTTCTCTCTGGGACACCGGCATCTTGGTCAGGGAGCACATCAAAAGGCTGCCTGCCCAGCACCCAAGGTGGGCTGAGGTATTGTCTACTTGCTAAAGAATCCTATCTCTGGAACTTCCTGGGTGTTAAAATGCAGTCTTATCCTTAAGATGGAATTCTTCCTCCTTTTACCCTGCCGCCTGCAGCTGGGCCTGCAGCTAAGCTAGTTGCCCAGTTTGCAGAATCACCTGTCAGAGCTGAAGGAGGAACGACAGCACACAGGCCTGGGGGGCCTTTACGATGCTAAAGCGAATCTTACACATGGTCACAAATGGTCAGCATAATAAGACATGTGCTGCTCTTCTTTATCTGGGGAACATTAACTGACCTCACTGAAGAATGATTCTAGAGCTTAATGTCTAACACAGTTTTAGTAGGGGGTTTCCTTGCGCGTAGTTACCTTGCTCTGACTGCAAACATCCCGCCCTGCCCTCCGCAGAGGCCCTCACCCTACCCCGACTACATCCACGGTCCCTGTCTCACCGGGGGCCACCTGCCTGCTCCCAGGCCTGGCAGGGCACAGCCTAGAGGCGCCCCAGCACCCTGTGGACGCTCTCAGGTCCAGGCCCCCAGGTGGTCCTCTCTGTCTCCCCACACTGTCTGCAGGTGGAGGCGGTTAGGAGCAGGGCTCCTGGCTTCAGTCCTGCAGACACACGCCTCGGCAGTCCAGCGGGGCTTCTGGGGGCACGTTTCTCCTGAGCGAGGTGTGGAAAGTTCCATGTGGCTGGGACTGGGTGAGGCCTTGCCTCAGCGGTGAGTGAGAGGGGAGAGCAACCGCATATTTTCAGGAGGGTGGGGAGCCTTGCCCAGAGCACAAGTCGCGTCTTGCTGGCATTTCCATCTGTTTAATCACAGACTCCTGGAGATGCTGTGGGAAATACCAGCAGGATGGAGGTCTTGCTCCGTCCGAGTAGGACGGGTTATCTCCAAGCCCAGGCACAGAGGCCTGTCAGTCACTCACCTCCGGGTGAGGTGGCCCCAAGTCCGGGCATGCCTGAGGGAGAAGATGGGGAGGTTTGAGGTCTTGTGCTCTGTAAAAATCTGGTCCCGGTATCCTGGAGCACAGGGATGCGGGGACTCGGGCCGGGACGCAGCAGCCAGCCAGCCTGGGGTGGAGGGAGGGAGCCCGCCTGCGCCTCCACGGGATGCTCCAGGGCCTCCAACCGCGGCTGCTGCCCCTGCACCATGCAGTGGGGTAAAGCAGACCCAGGAGCGCTCAGCGCCCCTCTCCCTGTGCGGAGCCGTGGGAAGGGAAAGGCAGGGCAGGCCAGGTGCTAGGATAGGTGGTGTGTGTGCAGAGTGCGGAGTGCTCCAGCCCCGGGGACCTGGGAGGGGCATCCGGGCAGGGATGGGGGGTGGGGGGAGCCCAGCAGCATGGTGGGCCTTCCCCTGCAATTGCCACCGTGGGGTCCCTTGCACCCAGCCCCCCTCTGATTTGTATCTGAGCTTTGGTTCTCTGTGGAAGCCACGGCTGACACCATTCACTCACCCTCCAGAGAGAGGGGGGCCACACAGCCAGGGCGAGAAGCTGTGTGCCTTGGGCCCCAGGCCCCGGTTCCTACCACTCGGGAGGGACAGGTCTGTGTGCCTAGCCGTTCGGGCTGCTGAAGCAGGCTTCCCGCGGAGGTGGGCTCTGAGCAGGGTCTGCAGGCTGAGGGGCAAAATCTAGCCTGGCGAGCGAGGAGAGGCAGAGGAAACGAGGCGGCCCCTCTGTGAGCTGAAAGGCAAGGGCGCTGTCCGGCCCTGGCCGCGGGGTGCGCTGGGGACAGAGCCTGCAGAGGCCCGCGGAGGGCTCGGATGCAAGCGCGCAGAAGCTGGCCCTGGAGGCGCGGAAGACGTTCGCTCAGGCTGTGCAGGGAGGCGAGGCCCTAGTACCACGGGACCCAGCAGGGGGCACGGCGGGCGGGGCCGGGGGTGCCGGCGCTGGGACCAGGCTGGTTTGCAGGGAGGACGGCAGGCACCAGGAGAGCGTGAGAGCCCTGGGAAGCCTCAGGCGGGCGGGCCACCAGCTTCCCCCTCGGGAGGGTCTCAGGTGGGCTCTGCTTGCCGCCGCATTTGGCCTTTGATGTTCCCTGGAAATGCTGTCGCCCGACCCCACCTCAGGAACGGGGGAGAACTCCGACAGGCCTGGCTTTCTGGGCGCTGGAGGTCCTGTGCGCCATCCTCATGAGCTCACCCGGCTCCCAAAGCGAGGAGCGCCCGGCCAGGAGCCCAGGCCAGCTGACTCGGCCTGTTCTTGTCACAGAGCAGCCAGATGTCCCAGCTGGAGCCTCCCCGAGCAGCTTCCTGGGTCTCGTGTGCGAGATTCTGGTTGAGCTGGGCCAGGGCGGCTGGGGAGGCCCTTTGCTGTGGGTTTGTGAAGAGTGAACCGTTATACTGGAGGTTCACAGCCAGGGGAACACGGATGCCCCATGGGATAGGAACACACAACAAGAGTGCCTTACAATTCTGTTACTCTACCCAAGTGAGTGGGCGAGGTAGCCCGGGAACGCAGGGACAAATGGAGAGCCTGGGAGGCTTCTGGGAGGAGGTGAGCTCTGAGAGGTTGTGCAGGCAGACAGGAGACAGAGGGGGTGGGGACCAGTGGGAGCACAAGCCACAGCCCCTATTCTTTGTCTCTTGTATATGGACCAGCAGTGCTTGGAGGAGGCTGGAATGAGGCTCCCCAGGGGAGCTTCTGCTTCACCCAAGGGCACAGTGTCCCCTTTTGAATCTTTGTGTCCTTCTGGCAGGGACAAGCAGAGCTTCCCAAGTGGGTGTCTGAGCCCCGTGTCCCTGGCTGTCCCTGCCTGTACCTGCTCAGCCGGCGGTACAAGGATGAGGCTCCCTCCCGGTCAGCTCCCCTCCACTAGGCTGGCGAGCTTGGAACGAGCCTCTGGGCACACACTCAGGGCCAGCGGGAGTGTTACTGGCAGTTTTTCCTCCTGACGTTACCACCTTCACTGGAAGCGAGGCCCCAGACTGGATAGTACGCCACGGGACACCTGACTGCACATCATCCCTGTTGCCCAGCTGCGAGAGATTAGGAGAGAATCAAGACACAGACTAAAAACAAATCTACTTCCCATCTATGTCCCCCAAATCACTTGAGATGGTTCCCTAATTTGACATAGATAAATACATTCTATGGGAATCATAAACTGCGAACCCAGCTCGCAGTGGGGGACCCACCCCTCGGAGCAGGAAGAGCCCTCCTCCGGGAGAGCTCCCTGGCTGGTTAGGATGGGCGGTGGGGGCCGAGAGACAGCCCCAAGGTGGCCTAGCCTCCGCTGTCCCCTACTGTCAGGGCAGCAGTCAGCATGCATTGTGGCCACTCCCACCAGGGGGTCCTGGAAGGACCCAAAATGCACCCACAGCAGGAGTGGCTGCAGTGGGCCGGCGTCACTGTTGAGGTCTGTCTGAGTTCTGGGGTTTCCATCCGCCTGTGTTTCTAAGCATCCAGTCCCGTGCCAGGTGCAACTTGGCTGGTAGGAACCGGCCTCCCAGGACACGGGGGTCACCCACTCGTCCCTCCCTGTGCCTGGTGCACTGCACTGTCCTCTGCGAGGGTAGGTGAGGGCCTGGGTCCCCTCCCTGCTCCTCAGCACGGCAGGCCCGACCTGTGTCCTCATCTACAACCTTCAACCTGGGCCGTTGTCTGGCTGAGGCAAGGCGGGCTCCCCGGTCAGGAGTCTCCTCGGTGAGGGCCACTCCTGATGGAAGTCACAGCTTACGGCATTTCTGGGCCCTCTCAATACCCACGACCAACCTACTGACTTCATCCCCCCCACTTCACAGATGAGAAAACAGGCCGGGGCAGGGGGAGGCAGATTGAAGGCTGTTCTCCTAACCTGCCCAGCCCTGCCCTGCCCAGCCCAGGAGGCCTCTTTCTGTCCCTCACTTCCTGCCCCTGGGCTGTGGTCCTTGTGGGTGGCACCCAGCCTGGACCTACTTCCGAAGGTGGTGGGTGGGCAGTGTTGTGCCCATGGGAGGCCAGCCTGGCCCACCATTTCCTGCCTACCTGTGGAAACCCCCCAACCCGCTTGGGCAGCAAAGGGCACAGGGGTCTTCAGCTGGGTGTCCAGCCTGCAAGGCAGGGGCTGCAGGGCTGGGCTGAGCTCAGGCCCCAGGCAGGTGGACCAGTGGCAAGTGGGGCCCTCAGCTGTCTGGGGTGGGGGACCAGGGTCTGGCCAGGAAGCAGAGACCTGGTTCCCAGTAGGTGTCTGTGCCCCTGTTCTTTGCCTCCTGGGGGGCACAGGAGGATCAAAGACAGCAAGGTCTGGGGCTGGCAGGGCAGGTGCATCCCTTATTTATGAGTGCACTGCCTGCCCCCACCAGCTTGCCCTCCCCAGCCTGGTGCCAATCTCAGCCACACAGATCTGCAAGGACTGGAGGAGGGACCCCTGAGGCTGGGGACACAGCAGACTGCAGGGTAGGGGTGGGGCGGGCACTGGGATGGCCCCTCCCCATGCCTCCTGGGGCACATCCCCCTTTCCCCAGGACTCTGGGGTCCTCGGCAGAGGGGGCTGCCTTCCTAGACAAGGTTTAGGGCATCCATCCAGGGGGTGGGCCTTCACCCACCCATCCCCAGCAGGCAGCTCCTCCCTGTGCAGACCAGGGGGCCACAGCCTAAGGTCCAGGCCCCTTGCCCCATCTGTGCCTGTGGCCCAGGCCCTGCACGTGGGCACATGTGCACTGTGGCCTCCAGGCCTGACACACGGCGGGAATAGGCCACCCTGGGATTCCAGCGGAGAAGCCCAGCCCTGGGAGCAAGCCGGGCTGCCCCGCAGGAGCTGCGGTGGGCACCTGCAAAGACTGCCAGTGCCCTGAGGGCAAGTCTGCCCCCTCCACCCTACCCCGGCCCGATCCGAGTTGGCAGGAAGCTCCGGAAGGCAGGTTGTGGAGCAAGTGGACAGAACTGGCCGGGGGCGCCTGCCTGGTCCTGGTGGAGGAGGCCCCCGGTCTCGTCTGCTCTGCTGGACACGCGGGATCTGGGGGGGCGGTGCGCTCTTCTGCGGACCCTCCCAGAGCTTCCCCCTCCCACCCAGCCCGCAAGGCCTGGGGCCTCAGGGGCAGGCCTGTCGTCCTGACCTGGTCAGAGGGAGGCCCCCCACCGGCTCCCTCGCTTCCGCTTGCTGGCAGTGCTCAGCTCTGGGTCGGCCAGGAGCCCTGCACGCACATGTAGGCACATGCGGGCTGCCGCGGGCTGGGCATGTCCTAATTAGCCCACTCTCTTGGGAGTTCTTACTGAAAGCAAAACAAACCAAAAAAGTCCTGGTTTTGCCTGGGTTCCTCCCTGATGCCAAGTGGGTACTGCCCTGGCTTCTAGGGGCCTCTGGTTCTGGAGGAATAGCCCCCCTGGGCTTCTTTGTGGCCTGGGCTCTGCTGCAAGGCTGGCCTCTGCCGGGGGTCCAGGCTCCCTGTCAGCATCCTGGACCCCAGCCTGGCTGGGAAGGAGCGCAGAGATGTTTCCTGTGGGCAGGGGAGGAAGGGCCTTTTGGGGAGCCCATGGGGTCCCCTGCTGTGCCCAAAGCGCAGCTGCACGAAGCAAAGAGGACAAAAATCTCTATCTCGTGGTGGCACAGGCACGCAGATGTCCCTGGAAAAGCAGGGCCCAGAGAAGGAGCAGCTCAGACAGTGTCCACTGAGCGACCAGGGAGCCGGGCGGGCGCAGCACAGCACCACTGTCCCCGCCATCTCCCCCGGGGGGGGGGGATTCCCAGGTACCACGAAATGCCCCTGAGACTGACTTCCCAGAGAGCGTGGAGGGAGCCTGATGGAGGCGCCGCTGTTGGGGTGCTGCAGAGCGCTCTCCGCGCCTCTGGTCCGGGGACCTGCTGCCGGGAGCCTCCGGCCCTCTTCTCTTCTGCTTTGGCTGCTGGGCCCAGAGATCCTACCTGCCCTGCTCCTTTGGTTCAGTGACTAATACCCTGGCACCGGCCTGGATCGGTAAAGAATGTGGACAAGTTAAAATCTGAACAATGTCGTGGCGCGGCCGCCCCTCTCTCCTGAATTGGGAGGCAGGGGCATTTGCCCTGCCCGCTGGCCTGGGCCGGCCTCCCATGGGGGATGGAGCTGGACGACAGACCTGTCCTCTGTGCACAGCAGAGCCAGGATGGAGGAAGGCTCCCTGCAGCCCTCTGGCAGCCCAAGCAGCCACTGGCAACAGGAAAGACCCTCCAGAAGTCACCCCTGGCCTCCTGGAAGAGGGAGGTGATCAAGTTGCTGATGGGTGGGCAGGCTGGGACCCCTGCCCTCCCAGCCCAGGACCCACCAGGCTCACAGCCTCGAGTGGGAGGGGGACTTCTCGACTGACCCTAATTCCTGGGCACACAGGGCAGGAGTCCCCTGCCTGTCACTCATCTGTTCCTCTGCTGGGTCACTTCCTCAGCAGATCCCTTGGGTAAACGCTCCCCAAAGGAGTGAGAATGAATTACACTCCCCAAAGTGGGTGCTTGCAGCCACGATAAAGCTGGTAACGACAATATAATAACTACCGTATCAGGTATGTAATATCGCACGGTTATAATGTAAATACAATAATAGCTGCACGTCCCTTTGGCCCAGCAGACACCACTTGGGAGCCCAGTCCAGCGCCATCCGGTAGAAAAGGGATTCTAGTCCCCTGTGCAATTTTGTATTTTTTAGCCACATTTCAAATAGTTGAAAAAGAATTGGTGGAAATAATTTGATAACTTATTTTACTTATCCCAAACTATGCTCATTTCAGCACGTTGCCAGTGTGAAATTGTGAATAATTTTATTTTATGTTCTTTTCATGGCATTCTTTGGAATCGGGGGTTATGCCCACAGTGCAGCTCAGTCCGTATGTGCCTATGTGGCTGGCGGCTGCCGTACCGGACAGTTCTGTGCATGAGGATATGTCGGTGGCCATATGGTCCCTGTCCTTGCAGGGACTACTGTCCGGTTGGGGAGACAGAGCCAGGGGGACACGGAAGCAAGTCCCAGAGAAAGGTGCTGCCACTTCGGGGGTGGGAGGGACCCCTGGGGCCCTCAGCCCAGGCCCCAGGGGGAGTGAGGGGCTTGTCCTCCTCAGAGGGGATGGTCGTACTTTCCCTGGCCCCTCACAACAGCCCGTGGTCTGGTCTGGAGGGGTGAGGACTGGGTCCCTCTGTAGTTTTGCTTAAAATAGCTTTACTGAGTTGTAATTTACATAACACAATTCACCTGCTGGAAGCATCCGTCTGGCCTGGCTGCCCAGGTGAGGCCCACGCTGGCTGGCAGCTGGCCATCCCAGAGGCTGTAGCATCTGAGGAAAGGGCCTGCCTGGCCTCCCGGAGGCCGGGGCTAAGAACCAGCCACCTGTCTCCTGTCACCTGTCACCTCCCTTGCCCTGGTCACCACCTGTGCTGAGCTGGCTCCCAGCTGGGCAGCCTTCCCCTAGGACTCTCCCTGGCACTTCCCTCTGAAGGCTGGAAGGGGAGGGGCCTGGGGCTCAGAGGACCCTTGTCAGGGACATGCAGGGATGTGTGCCCTCCAGGAGGTGCTGAGCGGGAGGGACCCCTAAGTTATGAACTCCTATCCTCCTGATGGAGAAAAAGATGGGGCTTCAGAGGGACTGAGTACCAGGTGACCCAACAATGTGGTCTCTGCCCACTCACCATGTGCCATTTTTCAGTTTGAAGGAAGTGGGCCAGGGAGGGAAAGAGTACCCATCTTTCTGAACAGGGCTGTGGGACAGAGGGGCCTTCTGCCTCCCACCATGGGGACCCCAGACTCCCGGGCCGCCAGACAGGAGCTCCCAGCTCACCATGCCCACCCGGACAGGTTCTCAGGCCCGCTGCCTGAGGACAGCTGGTCTCCTGTGGCACCTGGGAGGGGCACACCATGTCACCCTAGGCAGTGCCCTCACCGGTGCCACGGGGGTAAGAGCCTGAGAGCTGCTGAAACTGCGCCTGGGATGCGTGGCCAGCGCCAACTACTCCTGAGACCCTCCCAGACGCCTCCTGCTGGAAGCCTCCGACTGGGGAGGGTGTCTTTTTGCCAGGTCCCAGGTGGACTCTAATCAGCTCTCGATTTTAGGTGCGCAGAGCTTCAGACAGCATCCTCTCCCTCACGCAGCGGAGTGTCTGCTCCTTCTGTGTGGCCTGGCGGAGGGCTGGCTGCGGGACTGAGGGTGGGGACCACACAGGCCGGGGAGCTGGCCGTTCTGACGCAGATGGAGGCAGCCTTGGAAAGTGGCTGCTTGGCTCAGCCGCTCAACTTCAACCCCCCACTCCTGCTTCACCACTTAGACGTTGGGACCCAGGGGCCAGATCCGGCTCCCTGGGGCACCCACACGGTGGGCCCACCCTCTGCCCCAGCCCATCTCTCCTGCCTGGTTCCCTGGGCCCAGATCTCCCCACTCCCACTCGGGGCTGTAACAGGGAGGAGGAGAGGATATCCTGGCCCCGCACTATCCCGGAGCCAGCGCATCCAGGTGCCGGGGCCTCCCCCATTGCAGCTCCCCTCCAGGTGTGCTCCGTGAGCCCCAGAAACCCTGGCACAGGAGGTGGATGGAGGGGGGAGGCGAGGTGAATATGTCAGTTTATCCCCACACAAGCAGTGACCTGTCAGGATGGGGGGGGGACTGAGGAAATATTTGGGATGACGGAGCCGCTGGCCCTTTAAGGCTCCTGTAACAGGACACCTCGCAGCCGGCTTCCACTCTGCAGCCTGACTGTGCCCCCTCCCCTTCCCACGCTAGGCCCAGTTCAATCTGCTGAGCAGCACCATGGACCAGATGAGCAGCCGCGCGGCCTCAGCCAGCCCCTACACCCCAGAGCACACGGCCAGCGTGCCCACCCACTCGCCCTACGCCCAGCCCAGCTCCACCTTCGACACCATGTCGCCCGCACCGGCCATCCCCTCCAACGCTGACTACCCGGGTCCTCACCACTTCGACGTCACCTTCCAGCAGTCCAGCACAGCCAAGTCAGCCACCTGGACGGTGAGTGGTGCCCGCTCACAGCAGCGTGTGGGGGGCAGGGCAGGGAGGTGTGGCCACGTCCCGGCAGCCAGGGAGGGCGAAGCACCCTAGCTGTCCGTCGTGCTGTGTCCTGCTGTCCGCACAGGGCTTCTGCCTGGCGGGGGCCAGCAGCTTTCGGGAGGAGCATCGGGGAGGAGGCGGGTCTGGGGCTGGGCAGTCTGGGCGTGCCCACCCTTTGGACTCGTGGCCAGAGCCGACCAGCCTCCTGCAGGGCCCAGGAGGGGACTGACAGGCTCCCTAGCAAGCGCCAAGGAGCGAAGGCAGCCTGTCCGCACCAGGACAGTCCTGGCCATCATCTTGAGCTCAGGTGGAATCCTACCCTGGCAGGGCAGGAGGTGCGTGGCTTGCTGCCTGCAGCTATCTGGGATCCACAGAGGCTGCCTCCTGCAGGCAGCGCAGTCAGCAAGAAGTGTCTGGTGGTGGATTTGGGCTTTGGCTGCATGGCCTCTGGGTTGTCATCTCCAAGTGTGGGCATGAGACAGAGTTGGGGGTGGAACCACAGTGCTGGGGACTCGAGGTCTTGCCACCGTGCTCTTGGGAGCATTCTTGTCCATACCACAGCCGGGAGAAGGGGCTGCCAGATGCGCCTGCCAGGCAGGGTAAAGGCTGTGGGGATGCAGAGATCCCTGCCCAGACCGCAGGCTCACCTCCCAGTGTAGGGCGTGCAGGGCACTGGGCACGAAGCTCAGCCCCAAGGGCCCTCCGGGTCCCATGCCACCTGCGAGGAGGGGTGAGCTCTGTTCTGGTGCCCACCTGGCACCTGGCAGTTCCTGGACACAGTGCAGCGTCACCTTCGGGGAACAACAGCTCTGTGCTCACCCCTGACCCCTAGAAATGGGACCCCGACAGGGAGGCTGTGCTCCTGTCCCTGCCCCTGTGAGAGCAGCGAGCAGATGATCCGAGGCTCTGCCACTTTGAGAACCAGGTGCCCTGGTCCCCACTGCCCGCTGGCCCGGGGGGTAGCCGTCCCACGCTCCAGGGGGCTGGTGTGGGGCCTGTAGCAGTCGACTCAGGGGTGCTCCCCCAGGCTGTACCTAGTTCTTGTTGGGCAGTGGCCCCCAGCTGCTGACCGTTGCTGAGTTAAGGCTCAGCCTGACTCCAGGGCTTCCAGTGGCCCAGAGGGACACCTGGGCCAGAGCCCTGCACCCCGTGCCCCATCAGCGCCGTTTTCCCCATTGGTGAATGTTTTCTCCAAAGCTCCTTATTGGTGGTGGTGTCAAGGCTAGAATAGGACAGTGTGCAGCATGGGCTCTGCACAGCGGGGGGGCCGCCTGTGGCCTTTACGGTAGGATGGGGGTGGCAAGCACAGAGCGGTGCCTCTGGCCGGGCTGTTCAGCTCCAGCTAAACCTGCCGGAGGGTCTCTACTGCCTGCAGGTCCTGCTCCCGGCACCCCAGCTTGAGGTTCAGCTAAGTGACTGAGGCCAGGTCAGGGCGCCCCCACACTTGCACACCTCTGGTAACAGGAGGCTCACTACTGCTTCTATCCCATGTTCAGACTTGTTCCCTAAGCCTTTTCTCTCCCCTCTCAGGGGGGGTCAGGGGTCCCACCCCACCCCTTCTGCACTGACACCTAATCATCAGGGCCTGAGCTGCTGGACCGCTGTAAGTCCTGGCAGGCACTGTGGAGTCCTGGCCTTCCTCTCTGCTCTTTGAGGATGCTGATGGGGTTGCTGCCATGTCTGGGGGCTTGGAGTGCCTTGGAAGGTCTGAGCTGTCCTCAGGGAGGGATGGGAGCTGCCCGTCTGTTGACAGCCTCCCCTGCTTGGGGGCCTCTGCCACCCTCCCAGTTGTCTCCACCACCCCTTGCCAGGTGTGTGGTGTCAGGGCTGGTTCATGGCTCAGTCACAGTTGTCCTGTCCCTAAGTGCCCCAGAGTGGTCTGCCCTGGCCAGGCACAGGATGGGTAGGCTCACCTGTGCCCAGCAGCTCTGCCTCCAGGCCTCAGGCAACCCGGCCCAAGCATGAATGCCACTCCCCGCCCGGCCCCCCGAGGCTCTCTGCTCTCGGAAGCTGAGCCCGTGGCCCCCCAGCCCTCATCGTGCAGAGGTGGCCGTGGGACAAACGCTGATAATGAGGTTTCTGGCGGCTGGGCTCTCTGGGAGCAGAACCCCCCACAACCAGCTCTGTTCCCTGCCCAGGGAGGGGGCAGGTGGGCAGCCTGCTGACGGTGCAGGACTGGGACAGCCAGACGGCCCACCTGCCCGCAGCCCTGGAAGTCCTGCTGTGCAGGCGCTGCCTGAACTCGCGCCGGGCTTGCTGTCCCGCCTCCACACCATGCCTTGCGCGGCCCCTGCTACGCCAACTGGCTGGTAACTGATAGATAATTCATATTTTTCTCAAGTACAATTCTAAATTGACTGTTGCCTTCACTTCTGTCCCCGCTCAGGAAAAACACCCTCACCAGCCCCGGTGGGACTACAGCTGTTAATGGGGTCTTTGGCCTCTGTCTGGCTAAGGACTCCTCCTGTCTCCCCAGTCTTGGGAGGTCCATCGGTCCTAACGGGCCTCCCTGGGACCTCAGGGCTCAAGCCTGTAGGGGCCTGGGGCCCTCAGTTCACAAAGACACACATGCAGACACTGTGAACATGTGAATACACGCACACACCACACACACAGATGCCTGCATACACACATACTCACGCAAATGAATGCATGCAAACCTCTCCTGGTCGCTGCCCAGGGTTCTCACGACTCCTCTTACACCACAGAAGGAGGTGGGTGGAGGGCAGTGGGCAGCCAGAGAAGGGGCTGTATTCAAGCAAGACCATAAACCAGGGGCCAGGGCTTGGTGGAGGTTGGCTAGCCGGCCCGGGCCCCAGATCTGTGCCTCCTGGGTCTGGAAGTGGGGCATAGCCTGGCAGGTCACTGGGGGGCACACAGATCAGCCCCTGGGGCCTTTCAGCAGATGCCTGGCCCCACAAAACACTGGCTGAGCTTGGCCCCTTGCAGGGCCCATCCGGCTTTGGGGAGGCACACCGAGTGACTAGTGCGCTTTTCAGATGCGTGGGTGGTGGAGCCCAACCAAGGATGGCAGCCAGGTCCCTGTCCCTTTCCCATGCCCTTCCCTGGTGGGGGACACTGTGGGGGGTGAGCATGGGGAGGGCCGCTCCCATCCTGGGGCCCCCAGGGATTGGCAGTGACATAGAGAGCTGGTCCCAGAAGTCCTAAGGGGCAGAGAGGAGGGCTGGATGGATGACAGGGGCATCTGGACTCCAAAGCCCACCTCAGCCTCTTCCTGCTCCAAGGCTGGACCTCGCCAGGGAAAGGGGCTGTCCTACAAGAAGGCCTGCTATGGCTGGAGCCCTAGCCCAGGCTGGCATCTGTGGGCATGTCGGATAGGCCCCTGTGAGGTGTGAGGATGGTTGTCTGCACAGGTGTTGTCCCTAGGGGCCTCCAGACAGCCCCGAGTGACCCCCAGCTTCCCCCATACACAGGTGTGTGTCCATCTGGGGTGTGCGGACCACCCCTCCTCCCAGGAGGGACGTGTGGAGGGTGGGTCGGGAAGCACAGAGGCTCCGCACGGGGTTCCTGGGTAGAATGTGGCTGAGTCAACACTAATGGATTTGGGAGAAAACTTTCCAGCCCCTCGGAGGTTTGCAGGCAGGAAAATAATAGCGGAGGTGCCCCAACATGATCGCGGTATCAATTGCGTTATCCTAAAAGTTTATGGAATGCATAAGTGGAATTAATACCTTTTACTGGCACCAGAAGCAATTATGTGCATTTAAGCCAAGAAAAGAGTTCTAATGATGTTTATCGTGGAGATGAAATGTGGATTATTGGGTGGAAACAAGAACACTTGGAGAAATCGAGGCAATTGCGTGCATTGTGCTTGGCTCCTCGTGGAGCCACCAGCTTCCTGCATGCTGGCCCTGGCTGGAGTCAGAGCCCCACTCTTGTTCTAAGATGGAGCTCACCCCTTTCTCTATCCTCTCAAGAAGCTGGGGGAGCCCCAGGCCTGAAGGTCATAGAACTTGGCCTTGGAGGACTTGAGTGGGGCCGGGAAGGGTCTGAGTCCCGAGAGCTGCATGGTGTTCCAGGGTTCTTACAGGGGGCATGCATGGCGGCCCTGGAGGGGAGGAGCCCCTTCTAGGGGCTCAGGGCTATGCACTGGGCACAAGGCAATGGATGTTTTACAAAGAATCATCTGTTGTTCTCTGGGTCTTGCTACGAAACAGACATAGTTCCACGGATCTGAGAATAGCTGCTGAATGGGGCTGAGCCCGTGCCTGGCCGCCCACGCACCCTGGAAGTGGCCAAGTCACAAACCCAGCAGCCCAGCTGTAAGCTCGTGCATCCCCCCCACTTTGCAGACGAGGAAACCGGGCTCTGGAGGGCATGCATCTGCTCAAGGTCACTGTCAGCAAAGGGTGGCACAGGGGTCAGGCGCCGGCCGCTGGCTCTGGCCCTGCAGCTTGCGGGGGATGCAGCACATCCTGCGAGCAGCCTTCCCCGGCTCTCAGGGGATGGCTCAGCGGCCAGGGGGCTGCCCCTGGGGAGGAGCACCCCAGTGGGCCTCCACCACTGTTGGCCGAGTGAGTGGCAGCCTCCAGAGGAGAGTCTGGCTGGCTGCCTTGGCTGTCTGCTTTTTATTGACAAATGAAAATTCCCCAAGAACACTTTATCATCTGGACACTCCCAGCTGTCTAGCGTCCAGAGGTCAAAGGAAGCAGGAGTCAGTGCGCTAAGCCTGGGTCCCGCCCCCCCCATGCTGCTGCCCCGCCCCTACCCCAGTCCCTTGCACGGCTTCCTAGGTGGGAATGTGAGGATGGCCCCTCCCGGAGCCCGTGCTGAAGCTGCCTGGGGTCCTGCGTGTCCCAGACCGTGGGCCACGTGGGTCTCTGGCTGTGCGTCGTGGCTGAGCAGGGAGCTGCAGCTCTGTCTCCAGGCCCCGGAATTCCACTGGCCACGGCCCCAGAGACTCTAGCTGGTCTGGACCCTGCCTCTGGGTGGAGAAGCCC